GTATGCTGTGATGTCATTCCCATGCACGCCACTCATATCCTACTTGAACGAGCATGGCAATATGATAGACAAGTACATCACAACGGGCTTAAAAATCAATACTCTTTACGTCTAAATGACGTAAAGCACATGCTGACACTTCCATCCCCAAAAAAGTTTATTATAATCAAATTAAAATCAATAAATCTTTTGAAGACTATTCAGAAAAAGAAAAAAGAAAAAGAAAGAAAAGAGGACGAAAAGAAAAAGAATGATCCACTGAGAGAAAAAGAGACCGGAAAAATAAATGACCTATTGAGAGAAAAGAGGTTAAAAAAAATAAAAAAATCCACTGAGTGTAAAAGAGGCCCAAAATAAAAATAAAGAAGGCTCAATGAGAGAGAGTGAGGGAGAGAAAAAAAAAGAGTACTTATATATGAGGGAGAGGAAAGTGAGAAAAGCGATATGTGAGAAGAGAAGCTTAATTTTTCTGATCTTGACACTTTTTTGCCTAATTCTGTTTTCTCTCTTTTGCATAAATATGAAGATGTGTTCCCAGAGGAGATTCTGAATGATCTACAACTACTACAAGGGATCGAACATCAGATTCACTTTATCCCTGGAGCTTCAATTCCCAAGCACCCACCCTATCAAAGTAATCTCAATGAAATAAAGGAACTTCAGTAGCAAGTAGAGGAGTTGTTAGGTAAGAGACATGTGAGAGAGAATTTGAGCCCTTGTGTTATTCTCATATTACCTGCGCCTAAAAAGGATGGTTCCTGAAGACTGTGTGTAGATTGCTGAGTCGTCAATAAGATTACGGAAAAGTAAAGACACCCTATCCCTAGGTTAGATGATATATTGGATTAATCAAGTGGGTCTACTATTTTTACTAAAATCTTAATAGTGGATATCACCAGATTAAGATGAAACCTGGATATAAGTGAAAGACTGTCTTTAAAACTAAGTATGGATTGTATGAATAGTTGGTAATGCCTTTTGGGTTATCAAACACCCCTAACACTTTCATGAGACTTATGGACTATGTCTTACAACCTTTTCTAGGTAAATTTGTGGTACGTCACATTTCGCTTTCTAATTCAAAATTAACTTTCTTTCTTTTTTTATCTATTGAGAGCTAGACAAACTAATTGTCGTTGTCTTGGAATGCAAAGATTTAACCCAAGAAGTCAAGGTAAGGCCCTATTAAATGGTCTCCAACCCTCATACCACCTTTTCGCTAGCCAAAATCCCTACAGCCTTATGGAAGAGCTACTGATGACGGCTAATAAAATAGATCAACAATAAGAAAGATTCCAACGCCATGAGAGAAGAAGACACAAAATTTGAAGAATTAGAAGGTCAAGTGAAGGATTCTAAGGTCAAGATCGGCAAAACAAAAGACCCAACTGAAGGTATAGGTAGTTAATCCCCCTACAAGGTGTTTCACCAATACAACCCAATTAATGCCTCGTAGGGGCATAAGGGGCACATTTTGTTTGAAATTGAATACCAAACACTAAATGGCCTAAAAAGATGTCTGGTGGCCCCACCAAAAGCAATCAAGGAAATATTGCCCATTTTATCAAGAAAGAGGCCATGACGTCACAAATGTTTCTAGTTGAAGGATGATTGACATATTACTCAAAAAAGGGCATTAGGGAAAATATATAAAAGAGCCTAGAGAAAGATTGCCAGCCATTGACAATTAAGATCCTCCTAGAGGACCTTAAGTCCTAAATGGTGGGTAAAAGGCATGTACTGAGTCCCTTCTAGAAGAGGATCAATAGCAAAACAAACTAACTATAGGACTCATTATTGAAAACTTGGGCTCCTCATTTTCTATAAGAAAATATGTGAAAGTGATGTAGTGCCTTCGGAACAAATGGCAAGCAGCAAAGAACAGTGGGACCCAAAATATCCTTTTGCAATGAATGTTCGAGGTTGTCACTTTACCCCTATGTTTGTGATTAAGCCCATAATCACCAATTTCAAAGTCAAGTGAGCACTTGTAATGAAAAAGCAAAAGTAGGTAACCAAATGATCGAGAAATTTCACTTACTTTAAAGTTCTCAAATGCCTCAAGAAAAAATTTCCAAGCATACCAAATCAATTTACATCAAGTTTCCTGCTATAACCTGATTATATAAACTCTGATGGTTTTTAATCCCACAGTTCTCAGAACAAAACATAATGCTTCCTTGCTACCAAGAAATGTAGGCAAGTAAATAATTGCACACAAAAAAAAAGCAAAATAGTATCAAATAATGAAGTCCAGAGTCTGAGCAAAAGTGATAATATTTACCAAAAAATTTATACTGTACGGAAAAAAACTTACCAGCGACACTATTCAACATGTGAAGAAGACAATGTTGCTGAAAAGCTGAAATGTAACCAACACCCCATCCCTTTAAATCAATCTGCATTAGGTGTTGGACTTGTGTTCTTGGCCTTCCATTTCTTGATTTCAGCGGGGATATATTGAATCCTCCACCTAAGAGAATGAAAACATGTCAGCTTGGTGAGATAATTCAAAATAAAGTTAACATGCTACTATTCCCCATTAAACCAGTAGAAAGCTCCAAAACTCACTCTCAAGATGAGCCCGAACATAACCTGGTTGTGGACCACAGTTCTCATGCTCCCTAGAGCGAAATAATACAACTATATACAACCAAACAGAAAATCACTAGTGTGAAGAATAATAAGGTTTAAGTTCAAACAAGGAGACAAGTAAAGAATTTACCATAGCTTCCATCATCATTCCGGCGCCAATAACGGACATAGCAAAGGTCTCGTGGCCACACAAACCTGCAACCACATAGACTTGCAAGTACAGTAAAATGAAGTCCATAGAAGACAAACAATCCTTGTTGAAATCTAATAATTTGATAAAGAACTTTCTTAAGCATTAAATCTGGCTCATAGATCACTTTGGAATAAATTTGGGTTAATAGATGAGCTTGGATTAATAGTACAAGTCTACAACATAAACAAAGAACATGTCCAAAAAATAAAACAATTTTTATTATCAAACTTTCTCTAATAAAAAAAATTATTATTAAGAGAGAAAGAGATACAAAGGTAAAACCATAAAAACAGACATAAGAGTTTTTGCATTAAATATCAGACAAATGAAGAACATTTTCGTGGCTATCTGTATAGGTCTGTAAACATTCAAAATTCTTCACATCATAACAAAATATGGCAGTACTTGCAGGCTTAATTACATTATTAAAACTGCACTTCAGTCTACACTACCACTGAAAGCAAATCTCCTTGCAAAATGTTCATTTTCTGCTTTCATTTCTCTTTTTCATCTTCCTTTTTTCATCTCGTGACAGTTGGAATAAATTAATTCAAAATGTTGTTAAATTTTGGAATAGATTAGAAAGGTCATACTCGCACCATTTTCAGTTTTACTGTCTAACTGTGAGAAGAACTCAGTATTAATGTGGCAGTACCAAAAAATATCTTATACAGACAAGAGAAACCTTTAAGTACACCAATCTTACTAGCTCCTATTCTAGTTCTCACGCGAGCATTACGTTTTCGCGAATTCTTTTTTTCACCTTTCTTTTTTCTTCTGGTGACAACTGGAATGAAGTAATTCAAAATGCTGTTATATTTTGGAATAGATTAGAAAGGTCAGAATAACACAATTTCTGGTTTCAGTCTACCATGTGAAAGAAATCATTATTAAAATGACAATGCCAAAAAATCTCTCTGTAGAGACAAGCAAGACCTATAAGTCGGCCTATCTTACTAGCTCATCCAAACAGTAGGTTTTAGTGAATTCATTTCCAAATTGCAATAAATTATCTATCAGCTAAGATCTTTGAAATAACTGTAAATAATAATCATTGCATAAATAACAGGCTGAACAATTTTAAAGACTATTACATGGTAAACCAGTCGAGTTGAAGTCTATGATAAAGTATTGCAGTGTGCCCATCTACCTCTTCCACTAAGCTACCATACCGGAAACTGCAATCCCACCTGCATTAACATAAAATTAAAATAATAAAAATAACTTGAGTTTTGCAGAAGTATAATTGAAGATCATATGTTCTACGTCTAACTATAGCACCCAACATCAAAGATCCTGAACTAGTTCTTATGAGCACTGCAAAGAAGCCTTAATTGAAAGAATAGACTTCTACAGGGAGGAATCAGAATTTTAAGTGCCTGTTTAGTTGTAGAAATTACTTTGAGCCTTGAGTTTTGGTTATTTTTCACTATATGTCTTTTATTTTATAAGAAAATGTGTTTAGTTGCTATCAGTAATTTATACATATAATAACTAAAAATATAGATAAATAGTAAATGCCTAATTATTGAAAAAAACAACAAACATAATAATAAGAACAATTTTTTATTCGATAAATTTTTTTCTCAAATATATTCAAATAAAATCTAAATCATATTTCTATTTAATTTATTTACCTTTCTAGATTTGGTTTAAATAATAGATCATGTATTTACTAATTTTAATATATGTATAAAAATAAACATTTCAATTAATAATTCTATCTTTTTTTTTTTTCAAAAATTTTATTTATATATACAATTTGTGTTAACATATAATCTGGATCTTAAGGAAAAACAATTTCAACACAGTTTCCAAACCATGACAAATTTTATTTTATAAAATTTTAAAATATTACATATATCATTCAAATTATAATTATTTTCTAGATTTAAAAACACTTCAAAAATAATAAGGTAATATATAAATAAAACATAAATATCTAACATAACTTAAAAATTTAAAAACATGAAATTTTCAATTATAATTTCCAGCATTAAAATAAAATGAAATTTTTGATATGTTTATTAGTATGCAAGTACATTTCAGTTAGAAGGTAGATAAGTTGTAAACATTTGACCTCAAATTTTAAATCTAAATTGGACCCAGGAACGATAAAATTTTTAAATATGAATAAATGTTTTGGTGCTATGGGAAGAACGACTTTTTCCCCACACGAAGGGCAAAAGCTCATGGATGGTTTCAGACATTGCTCCCTCGGTGTTACATAAAACTGGAAGGTGATAATCTTGTAATTAAGTGGGTTTGGATTCTAAACTCCTCTGCTCAGTTATTTTTGGTTTGAGTTTTTCTTTTGGAGGTTTTTTCGATTCTTCTAGTTGAAATCTTGAAAAGGATGTCTTATTCCCCACATATGTACTATATTTATCTTCCTACAAATCCTACTTTTTCTATTACAAAATTTTAAATATAATTATTTTTAGATTAAAAAATAATGAAATAAAAATTTATGCAATAAAATTCAAAACACAAAATAAAACCAGAAAAGCAGTAACTGTAAATAAAATAAAAAATACATGAAAAAAAAATAAAAGAGAGAACTTGAAAATCTTCAGATTGGCCAAAATAAGGCACAGGTGACATCGGATCATGTGTGCTTGGATGTTACTCTGGGGTTCAGAAGTCTGGTGGTGACGTCACCTTGATGTAGTACAGTTTAACATAAAGTTTTTAACATTTGCCAGGATTTCATTTGCCAAAAAAAAAAAAAAATCTTTTCTGAAATTTTTATATTTTTTAGACAAAAAGGAACTTTATTAAAAAAAAAAAAAAAATAAGAAAACAGATCAGATGACTATCGGCCATAGCTCAAAATGACAACCAAAAAGAGCTTTTGTCCCAAACAACCAAAATAACAGAATAATAATCTCTAAAGATTTTAGCATTTCTCTCTAACTTAAGTACTGAAACGCCACAAGAAAAGATCTCAGCACTAAAAACCATTGCCACTCTTTACATTTGTTGAAATCTCCTACAACTTTTTTTCGTGAAGTCCAGACAACATGAAAACTGTCAAAAAACAGGGACCAAGATTTCCAGCCGAAATGACAATGCGAAAAGAAAAGGTGACCAAGAGACTCGACTCTACAGCCTTATAACACATCATGCGCACCCCCGGAGATAACACTTGATTTGGTCTGAGAGCTTGGAATAAATCCTTAGTGTTCAACTTGTCCAGAAGAGCGGTCTAAAAAAAAGACAGAAGGGAAGCAACCGATACTCAAGCCCACCACATAGCACCAAAACGTTTTCTCTCCAAAACTTTTCGACAAAGCCTCAGCTAACCCAATTATAAGCCTTCTCGAAATCCAGACTTTGTTGATCGAAAAAGAAACTTTATTAATATGAGAAAGAAAAGAAAAACAAAATCAGAAGATGAGACATCCTCCTCACAAAGTCACAAGATAAAAAAAATAATTACATCCTATGGAATTGAAATGATAGCATCCCAATTTCGATGAGCTGTGAAATGAGTAACTTCCACCACGCGCAGAGCTGCACGCGGAAGCTTTTCTGGCCCCAATCTGCTTCATTTTTCTGGCCACCGTGTACTGTAGATCTGCCTGAACCGAAGAAGCCGTTGAGCCGAGCCGATTGCAACCCGAGCCGAGCCACTGCACCAAGCCAAGCCAATTTTTAGTCGGAGCTGAGCCATTTTTTGAGCCGAGCTGTTTTTGAGCCGAGCTGTTTTCGAGCAGAACCGAGCCAGACAGCCAAACAAATCTGATTTCAGTATTTTTCTATCCTTTTTTGGTTATTTTGGTATAAATTAAGAGATCTATTTTCCATTATTGGGTATTTTTTTTTTTGTCTTTAGCATTTTAAAATGACATAAGCAAGAAAAGTGATGGTTTCTTATTCGGATAACTTCTCATTACAAATAAGCCCCTTAAAACTTGATGAAATTAATTATCTTACTTGATCAAGATTTTATTTATTGTTTATCAAGATTAGAAGATTGCAGGGATAAATTACAGGTGATTTGGAGTATAACAAATAGAACTTTGAAAACTCTTTGGTAATCTCTTGGTTAATCAATTTCATGCAACCTTATATTGCATGAATATATTTGTTACTCGATACTGCAAAAAAAATATGAAATACAACATCTTTTACATATTCACAAGTGGGTAATAACAGTCAAATTTATGAACTCCGGAATAAAGTTCATGGCACAAATCAATGAGATATTACTATTTCATAATATTTTTCTGAACTGAGTGAATTATGGTAGGAATTAAATTACTATCAAGACTTTCAAGCAGATTGTCCTGCAAATGCAGTCAAATTTTAGAAATTGATAGAAAAAGAGCGAATTTTATGATTTCTTAACTGGTTTGAACACATAATATGATTAAATACAGGTCCAAATGCTTGGTAAGGATCTTTTTTCTTCATTAGAACAAACTTATATCTAATAAGAAAAAAGTAGAAAAAGTATCATGTTTTACATAACACCAGTTGAGAAAGCTGCATTAGTTACTCATTTTGAACAATCCAAAAATATACAGAGGTGTGACTATTGTGACAAGTCAAAGCACACTAGAGAAATTTACTGGAAGTTGCATGGAAAACAAACTAGAGGTCATGAGAGAATAGTGGACCTACAAGAGCTCAAGAAAATTTAGTTGAGAAAAGTGAAACATCTGACCCACCAATAGTTAGAGTCTTTTCGAATGAGGAGATTCAAAACCCTAAAGCGTATCCTTTCTTAATTTAACTCTTCATCAACTATAAGTGCAACAAATCTACTAAAATCATAATATTCAAACAAGAAAGATGATTGGTACTGATAAACTGCAAGATGACTCTTCAAAACCTGATCTGCAAGTTGGGCATGAGAGATATCCTCGGACCAACTTGAAGGAAGGAGAGTGTGAGTAGTATAAGTTATTATTTAAGTATTTTAGTTTATTATTTATTATATTGTATTATGTAATTAGGATTCTATGAGAATAATTATATCATATTATTAGAATTCTAATAAAATAAAAAGTTTCTTATTAGTAGATTATGAATTTTATAAATACTCTAAGTGTAACAACCTAAAGGGTGATAATAAAATTATTATTTTTCTCCTAAAATTTACAATACTAATAATATTTTCACATTTATGCTGAGAATATTTCCACACTAGCTCTCAACCTGGGTTAAAAATGTTATTCATCTCAAACTTGAAACTTAGGCCTTTAAAGCTTTTTCGAGGCAAGGCTTTCATTGTCTGCAACTTGTGACCTTGGTGGTATGTAGACCAGTTAGATAAGATTGCCTTCTACTTTTTCTTTGATGAAGTGATGATCAATCTCAACATGTTTAGTTTTGTCATGATAAATTAGAGTTTTTACAACACTTAAAGCAAACCAATTATCACAAAAAAACTTCATAGGGTCTTATAGGTTGATTCCTAATTCCTTGAGTAATCTTCTAATCTAAATATCTTTACAGATTGCATTAGCCATAGTGCGCAATTCAGCTTTCATACTACTTCTAGATAGCACATATTGTTTCTTTCTTCTCTGGGTGACCAAATTTCTCCATATATATGAACAATAACCAAAAGTTGATCTCCAGTCTGGGACAGATCCTACCCAATAGTATCACTATAAATTTATACATCTTGTTTTGGACCTGATGCAAAATCCATAACCAACTATGCAATCCGAACTCACACATACACAATTACCATAAAAACTTAATTAACCCACAATCAACCTGTTATTGGAATTAAAATAATAGAAATAAATGAATTGATTAAAATGACATAAGAAACATCTTGATAAATTGAAATCAGTTCAACAAAATGAATTGATTAAAATGCTACGTGTTACCTTAATAAGTTGAAACAAATTCTTTATGCAACAAGAAGGTTGAAAGTTGAAACATGTTACCTTAATCAGCAAAAGTCCTAATATAAAAAAACTACTTTAAAGTAGGACTCTTAACTAATTAGCAAGGACTTCTCAATAACAACTACTCATAGGTGATAACATCATAATTTACACATGACTAAGATACATATTAAGGATTCTTTATGCTTTTAGTTGGTCGGCCCTTGTAGTAGTTTGCTCGGCTAGGACTTAATAGATGAGTGATATTTGGCCATACTTGGATAAATACACATGTTAAATATGCTTCAGAAGAGAAGTAATCAGCTAGGATGCTACCAAGA